TGCTGGAATGTACAGTATGTGGGATTTGGCAATATGTGTTTTTGAGTTTATTGTGGTGTTCACATGACTTTTATTTTTGTAGTGAATTTAAATGTGGAAGCAGCTCTGTTTAGTGTATGATGTCCAAGAAAAGTATGTACGTATCTATCTATCGATCTATCTACCTACCTACCTACCTACCGGGGTGTTGCCCCATAATTGTAGGAGAAACACTGCATTATGTAAAATAATTATTATCTTTTACCTTTGAATGTGTTTATTTTGTTGCATAAAGTCATACATTTAAAACAGATTTAAAATCTGTTTTATATAAAATTAAGAAAGGAAAAAAATGAAAGCCTGCAGGCTGCCAGTTGAATAGCCCTCATATAAAAGGTTATGAAATAATGTTTGCATGATCGTCTGTAAATATTTTGAGATTGAAGATGTTTTAGAATGGCATCAACCCACTTTGGTTGGGACCCTAACATTAAATTGTCATTCTGGCCAGAGTCAAACTGCATTTATTTTTTCAAACTGTTTTCTGTCAACAACTCATCTACAACAAGTAAGATATTCATCAGTCAGAACTTTTCCCCCATACCCCTGCTGCAAACAGTTAGATCTATTGTTTCACATTCATAAATAGAGCATGATGAAGCATTTCACACATGCACACACACACAAAAAAAAAAGCCTCTCTTGCATTATTGTGAGTCTGGCAAAGCCGTACTTGAGCAAACCTGTCAGAACGTGAGCTTTCAGCACCCACAGTGTTAATGTATAATGTCAACGCAGTAGGGAGCCTTGTTAAAAAGCAATTAAGCCAAAATGATTTAAACATTGTGTGGTTTGGCCACTGGCAGTCCTCGAGGTACACTCTGTGTTGTTGTCGTCTTTAAAAAGGAGTATTTCTCTGTCTGCTCACACAGAAAACCGCTATTTGTGTGAGTGTAGCCTTAACCACACTTTCCCACACCCGCCAAACCATACCAAACCACAGACTTCAGAAATGTGTACCACACACACACAAACACACATATGTACATGCGCACACACACACAGACAGAGTGTTCACATGAAAAGTAATTGAGGGGTTTGACTAGTTTTTGGTGCATTAAAACAGTAGCTGTTTTAAATGACAGGGGCTGAGACATACTTGCATTGATGTCTGCAAGGCTGGTAAAGATGGCTGATTACTCAAAGAGGACGTGGCATTCAGTAACTCTTATTATATTCCTCTTTATTTAGTGGAGTTTGACTGAATCACACCATTTAAGCTGTTCCTGGCGGTAATACATTCCTAATCCACGGCTTTCTTGCTCAGAATACTCGTTCCTTGAGTGACTTCAGGCACAAGCCTTTCGGCAAACACTGTTACACTTGGTCTTATTTCTGACGATCAAAACATTACTGCTGTCTTCATCAGGCAATTCCGACGTCTTAACTTGTTCGCTCTGTTTCCAAAGCAACAGCTCATTTTCTATTCCATGTAATAATTTGCTATTATGTGTCTCCCAGTAAGTCAACCAGAGTTACGTAAGCAGCTTCAGTTTTAGTGCTAGTGGTCGTTGTCTTAGACAGATTRCTGCTGGGCCACAGTCAGACAAATTTTAGCAGTTGGCAGATTGTTAGCTTACACCCTGTGTGCAAATGTGCTCATCACAGCCAGACTGCTTGGATGTGGTTTGGAACATCTGTGTGGTCCACACTGCAGCTGAAGACAGACAGGAGAGAGACAGAGAGGGTGAGGAACTGAGGGAGAGAGAGAGAGAGAGAGAGAGATAGAGAGAGA